TCTACATTGTTGTCTATTTTATTGTTCTATATTGTTACTTTGAGCTAAGTTTCGTAACACGTTATCAGCACGAGTCTCTATCCAAGATTTGAGTTTGGTTCTTCTTCCGCCCATGTTCTAATTAGTCTCATTACGAGAATCAGAAAAGAATAACTACTATAACTAGTAAGTACAAAAGCAGGTAAGTGTGAGGTTGGACTTGAAAGAGAGTCTGCTATGCTCCAGGTTTACTGCTCCATTACTTATGTTGTGTTTTTAAGTATTTTGAGTTGACAATTTAACTTCCCAATAATTTTCATTCTTGACCTTGTCTAAATTATTAAAGTTTAGAAAACCGAATAGGTAATTGAATTTTTTTTCAGTATGAGTTTGTGTCAGTTACATGAATTCTTGGGGTTATGGCTTATGTTATGCTAGTAATAGTTCCTTCACTGCATCTAGTATTTTGATTACAAAGAAGAGGAAATCGGTAATTATAATTTTAATAAATATTTGACCCACCACTCAATGACCCCTATAATTGTGTGCACTTTTACTTGTAAGTGGTCTGGCCTGATAACTTTGAGCTAACTGGATAATATAAAAAGTGATTATTCTGAGGTTATATTTGTGTGCTTATTTTTTGTTGTTAGTGATATTGATAATAGTAACAAAGTTTGAGTTATTAGTACCGATGAAATTTTTTTCACACTTTTGAAGTAATCATGAATTGTATAACTTACATATTGTTGTCATTTTTTTAATATAATATACTGTGAACTAAATTTTTTCAGAGTCTTATAAGAAATAGTTGATCTCATTTATATCTTAAAGAAGTCAAAATTACATGCGATGAGTTCATAAATTGATGAAGTACTAATGTTTATAAAATTGTTATAACAGAATGGTTTTATGCATAACCATTATATGTGGCCCTATGGGTAAGTGATTTAGAGTACCGGGGATGAGCCTCAATTGTATTTTGGTCTATTATGCTATTGATTGAGGGTAAGACGGTGGGTTCAAGTCTCATCGTACCTTGAGGGTAAGACACTGGGTTTAAGTCCTAGTGCATCATGATAATAAGTAGTTGGGTTCGAGTCCCAATGCATTATGTCCTAACATGCCTTTATATGGATAAGGCATTGGGTTTGAGTCCCAATGCACCATATTGATGATGTAATGATGACTAAAGAAAAATAATGTATTTTTCATGAAAAAGCATAAAGTTTGTCCCACTTGATTTGCTCCATTCTTGAAGTGAATGTGAAAACGGTGCATAATAAGTCTAAATAAAGACAAGTGGTTGACCAATGAACGTGGGCGTGCCAAAGATCAAATAATAACAGTCATCATTATGGTAATTGTAAAAAGGAGAACGATAAGGGTTCTCAAAATGGTCCTTCAAAGGTGAAGGAATATGTATCAATGTGGTCTGTTAATACGAGACACGTTCATATGATTATAGTCCATTCATACTCATTCCTGAAGTGAGTGGAAATATATATATATATATATATATATATATACATATATATATATATATATGATTCAAATAATGCATAAGAAATGCTTATGCAAGATTGACTGAATACCACAACTCACCTCTAAGGAAGGTTTGAGAGAAATAAAGATAATGAATATGTCATTGGTCGCGTACATGTGGTACGCCAAAAAAAAATACTGGACATCCTTATAAAAGGTTATTAAAGGCAAAAGTAAAGCAAGAAATGATTTTGCTATGATGATTTACCATGGACAATTATTAATAATATAATTTTCTCCGTGAAGGAGACATTCACCATATGAATGGTGTTGACAAAAGATCTTGTAGTACAAAATCAATTAAGAGCTCGAAGAGCTAATTTGTTACTACCGATGAATGAAATTGTTCATGACATTGATATTGTAGTAAGTCTCAAAAGAAACATTTTGAGTTTCAAATGTATAGCCAAAGTGGTTGGCATATTGAGACTATAAATGAAATGAAGATTATTATCTTCTATATTACTATAACATACCGGGTAAATATAAAAGGTTACCGAACTTTCTTCTATTTGTACTACAGATGTATAAGCATGAAAAAAATACATGAAAAAAAAATTAACATGCCTTAATTATGTTTACTGAAATAAATATTAGTTGCATGAACCGGTTTGGCCATCCCCGATTTTATTGATGCGAAAATAATTGAGAATTCACATTGGCATATATTAAAGAAATAGAAGATATCTTTAAGAATTCTTCTTGTGATGTTTTTTTTTTCATGATATACCAGTATAAGGTTGGGATTGAATCCCTTGATATCTGGAACGAATAAAAGGTGATATATATGTATGGGCCCAATCACCTGCCATGTGGATCGTTTGCTATTATATGATTTAAATAGATGCATCTATTGTATGGGTCACATGGCGTTTGTTATCAAACTTGCATTTTGGTTTTTGCAAGGTTGTTTTGCTCAAATTATTAGAGCACAGTTCCAGAATATATATTATGAATAATTTATTTCTTGATAATGCTGTTTAAATCCAAGTTGGTTTAGCAGAAATTGTATGCCTCAATTATAGCTAAACCATTGTTATGAGAACAAAACTCCAAATAGAAATTTGGTATTAAGTATATTATTTAATATCAAACAGCACTTGTACGCATCTAGCCAAACAAATTATGATAAATTCTCCCCATCACAATTGGTTCAGGGTCAGGAACCAAATATTTTCATCTAGAAATATGGATGTACTATATGATTAATTGTGCCACCAACATGCACAAAGATTAGTCTCAATGAAGGTTGGGGATATGTGGTTGTGATCCCAACATTAGGGGGAGAAAATGAGCAGCTAGAAAAAAAGTAATACATGGAATGAATTATTATGAGTACATTAGATCCTCGTACAAGAAAATATGAACTTGAAGTTCAAGTGATAATTTAATTTGCAAAAATATTTCCATCGCATTTGCTAACCCAAACTAAAATGTCAATATTTCAGCTACTAATTGCTCCAAATAAATAAAGTCCATGATGGACATAGTCTATGGAACTCTTGAAGCGTAATAGACTAATCGGTTCCAAAGATAAAACTCTTGAGAAGGAGAGGAGGCAAATGTTCAAGATGGTCATAATAAAGGCAGGCAAGTGCTTTTATAAGAGCACCATGACATAGCATTTTATAAGACCCTCATGGGAGAGGCTCAGGTACCTGAAATAATGAGATCTCGATAAGTATGTCTTTATTATGCGATGAATGGAACCTGATGTAAAATGATCGTTTACGATGTTGTTAATATAATGTAGCGCTCAATATTATTAATATTACGAGGATCTTGAGCTCAAATATGTCATGGATTTGACAGAATAAATGATTGGCCAAATGAAAAATATGCAATGAAATTGACTTCACCTGAAAAATGTGAAGTTGGACGGATAGTCCCCACACCTGAAAGTGAAAATGAAAATCAAGTCGATAGACATAAAGGCGACTTGGTGCACAAAATTTTCGTAAATATCCTTATATTAGGAGACATGTTTCTCCTAATGGGGGGTCTGACAATACATTTGATATGCATATAATGAAAATCCTTGAATGATTTAAATTGTTCTGAAGCATATTAAGGTTCCCAAGAAATTTATTAAACAAATCTTCGGCAGATCCTTATGTAGATTAGAGCGATCATTGCGTACATGATTTATTTTTGTGTCTAGTGCAGTTGGTGCACTAATATATCTGGCTAGAACCATGAGTATAACAATATGCTAGCAAGATATAGTTTTATTTCAATGTGGAGATATTGGAATACAATTAGTATTATATTTCAAAAGGAATACTTGATTTAGATTTGTTTATTCTAACAAATATCGCCAAGATTTTGTTGGTTATGCAAATGCAGGCATTTTCTGAAGTTCATTCTTCAAACATTCTATTTGCATGTGAGAGTACTACCATATTATCATATTACAAGGCAGTTAATTGTTGATACTTATTCAAGTCATGCCAAGATAAGCAACTGATAAAGCAAGGGGCTCAACACATAACAGACGTGTGACTTGACTTTGAAGAGAAGATTCCAATAATACTGAAGATAATGTTGTTTGCTTATATCAATTGAAAGAAGGACTATCGAAGGAGACAAAATAAAGCACATTCACCAAAGTTCTTCAACAAATTTGTTCAAGTGATAATTTGACAAACTTCTTCACAAGACATTGCGGATCTCAATATTAGAGAAGTTGTTATACAAGCTTGGAATTTGTCGTCTCCGAAGAATAAAGTGATGTGTCCATCAGGGGGAGGCAAATACGCGCTGTACTCTTTTTCCCTTAGCTAAGATTTTATCCCACTGGGTTTTTCTGGCAAGGTTTTTAATGAGGCAGCAAATAATGCGTATTACAAGATATGTGTACTCTTTTTTCCTTCACTAAGATTTTTTCCGACAGGGTTTTTTCTTAGTAAGGTTTTAACGAAGCACATTATCTATAGACATCCAAGGGGGAGTGTTATGAAATATTATTTTGTAGTGGATGTCTATAACTCCTAAAGAAGTTACTCCCACTACTCTTCTCCATTATGTAGATAACTCCCACTACTTTTTACCATTATAGTTGTAACTCCCACACCTCCATAACCTCCCCATGATCTTCCTCCATGATCTCAAATGTTTAATGTCATGTTTATGGCATTCTTTGTATGCCTCTATGTAATCCTATAAATAGAGGGTTTTGGCATCACATTGGATACACTTGAATACATAGAAGAAATAAGATTCTCTTCTCTCTTCCTCTTTACATTATTGTCTATTTTATTGTTCTATATTATTACTTTGAGCTAAGTTTCGTAACACTTTTGAGTTTATTGGAATTAATTGAGAAAATACATACACGTAAAGCTAATTGGAAAAGAAAAAAAAAGGAAAAGAAGAAAGAAAGAAAGAAAGAGGAAAGGTTGGCGCGAACAGTCAGCAAAACCGTAGCCAGTAAGATAAGAAAATACGTGTCAATCAAAGGAACCTTGTCATCGTTTTTCCTCTACACTTGTCTTTCTATTGTCACTTTGCCTCTGCTCTTCTCGCTCTTTATTCTTCTTCCCAAATCTTTCCTGATTTGTTTCTTTCTTTTCCTCTTACGTATTCCACTTTTTCTACTCCCACTACTATAATACCAAATACGTATTTGTACGGCTAAATTTTGCACCATGACTGGCAGAGAAATCATTCACAAAATAAAGGTGCGTATAATTTATGAATTCAGACCCCGATCTCTCTATATTATTCACCATCTTAATTGTTTGATCTTAATTCAGTATATTACTAGTCTTGTTATTATTATTATTATTATTATTATAATTACATCTCTTTAGAACTAAGGATCTCTGTCTATTCTTGGATATGGAAATACTTAGAGTGGCTGCGTGCTTCTGAATTTTGGTTTTGCACCTGCAGTGAAACTTCTTTAAGTAAGTTAGGGGATTAAAACATCATTTTGGGATGAGCTTTTTTCTTATCAAAATATTGCAAAAATGTCTTCTTTAGGAAATTATATTACATTGAACAATTATTTGCAAGATCACCTTTAGGCTTTAGGCATTTGGTTGAGTATGAAGGTAAGTGACATATAGAAGGTAGAAATAGGCATAGGATAATATTTTGGTAATTATTTTGATTATTAGAGGAAAAGAATAATATTTTGATTGATTCGAAAGATGAATAAGAGGACTAGGATAACATGTTGATTGATCTGAGTGATACACAATAAGAGTTGAAGATACTTGTAATTGAAAAACGATTTGACAGTAAGTTGTGTTCGTATTTATAAATTGAGGATGATACTTTCAGCGTTGCAAAGTAGTTCCATTGAAGAAAATATTATATTCCACACCAAGCACATCCTCGGGAAAAAAGACTTGCGAAACCCAGGGGCGGATTTATAGGGTAATTTATGGGGCACGTGCACCCATGGTCTCTTCGCCAAACTAGGTATTTTATCTATCTATTTTATACAGTTAGTCTAATATTATTCGTTGGGTTCCACAAAATTCCACGAAGGCTGAATGGCGCACTTGGTTGAATCATGAGTTATTTACCCAAAGGAAAAGCAATCAATTCTTTTCTCATTTCTTTAGTGGTGCACCCTAAAATAGATCCTCTCTGGCGAAACCTGTGCACTATGTGTCTATGTCAATGATTCACTGTTGCTTGTTCTTTGTTGGTCACTCAATTGAACTGCATTAGATGGGAATTTCATCTATTGTACAAAGCTCGTGCCGAGGGTCTACTGGAAACAGCCTCTACATTCACGGTAGGGGTAAGGTCTGCGTACTCATTACTGTTGTTGTTGTTGTTGTCGCTCATAATAAACTCTTGTGCTTATCCTGGAATGTGAAGGAAAATGTATGTGTTTGGAATTGGAAAGGAAAATGGAAAGAAAATATGATCAGGATAGGAGATTCTGTTGTCCAGATGAAATGGAAGAAAGGAGAAACATATCCCCACCTTTTCTTTCCCTTTGCCCTTCTTATATAGTGATGCTACGATCCATCCAAGTGAATGTTGGCATTGGATGGATCTTTAGTTTTAGTTCTCTCACTCAGACCATTGAAAAGCTAAGAGTCTTGTCTGCTCTGCATATATGTCGTCTACACCTGAGAAGCATTAGTCGATTCTTGACTGAGCAGATTTTCTTCAATTTGTTGTTCTTTAACTGTTTATTTTTTTAATAAACTGAACGTGGATACTGTAGAACTATATGATATTCACTTGAGTTCATAAGATTATTTTCGTTTATTATGGCTGTCCCTTCAAAATAACTTGTTCAATTAGCTCTCTTTTTTGAAGGAAAAAAGAAAGACAGGCCATTGAATATTCCTTTCTCAGCCTACTTGTTACAATAGATATTTGCTTTTATGCTCGGTGTTGTCCACAAAGTTACTTGTTAACCTATTGCAATTATTTCATATCAAAGCCGTAAATCTGATTTAGGATTTTGATCTTGGTGATCCAACTTATGGTGTTTCAATCAATTATATAGTGTTGACGAGTTTACTTAATGTCACATTATAGTTGATGAGTTTACTTAATGTCACATATTTGAAAAGTTAAAATAAGCCGCTTAGGAATCAAATAACTGAGCAGATGAACTAGTTGGCTACTAAGTGTCGTAATTTGCCTCTTAAACTTTAAACGGCCCTCTCTAGATGGAAGTCCTCGTATCGAGCAGTTGTGTGTTGTTACTATAGTCAGGAAAAAATAAGCTTATGCCCCCAGCTTAGCCGTATAATGATGATGGAATGGTGAATTTTATGAGAGTTTACAAACTTTAGATCTCCTTAAAGCTAAGACAACGTAGGCAGAAAATTTTTAAGATGGTAAAAGAGGGGGACTGAACAGTTGTATTAAGAACTTATTGCTCTTTCTTGAAGCTATCTATTTTAAGCTTTACTCCTTTTATGACATTGTTTATACATGATAGTCCGTTTATGGTTGTGGCTAATAAGTGTATCTCAGCTTATGGAGAAAGTTCTCCACTGTGGTGGAGTTCTCCAAGTTTTATCATGGAATGCCTGATGCATACACGTGAAGCTGTGACACAGTTCTTTCCTTCTGCAGGAAAGGGTTGGTTTAAGTTCATCTGATACCGGAAAAGGTAAGAGCAAAATGTCAAAGCACATAACGCATGGTTATCACATGGTAGAGGGAAAATCGCATCACACCATGGAAGACTATGTTTTTGCACAATTTAAGCAAGTTGACGATAATGAACTTGGACTATTTGCAATATTTGATGGCCATTTAAGCCATGAGATTCCTGATTACCTCCGATCTCACTTATTCAACAATATCCTGAATGAGGTAATTCTTTCATGTTACTGTTTGAATGCTTGACATGTATTTTGTGTAGTCAGTTCAGTCTTCAATTAATTGGAAAGTTAAAGAGGGTGAAGTCTGTTCACCCTTATCCGTTCTTATCATCTGCTTCCTTTCCCAGCTGCCCTCTCCAAGGTAGGTCAATACTCAATAGAGAGAAGGAAAAGAGCATGCATAGGATTGTTGTGCATCAGTATAGTGTGTTTTTGTTCTTTGCTTGACATCCATTACTCTCATCATATCTTCTGTTGCGGTACAGCCTAACTTCTGGGTTGAACCGGAGTCTGCAATCAGGAGAGCATACCGCATAACAGATTCCACTATTTTGGATAAGGCTACTGATTTGGGTAAAGGAGGGTCCACTGCAGTTACAGCCATATTGATTAATGGCCAGAAACTAGTTGTAGCTAATGTGGGAGATTCTCGTGCTGTCATTTTCAAGAATGGAGTAGCCAAGCAGCTGTCCATTGACCATGAGCCTGTCAGAGAGAGGAAGATCATTGAGGATAGAGGTGGTTTTGTTTCCAATTTTCCAGGTGAGAAACTGTATTCTGTAAATATATTATAGAGTTTGCTTATTTTGTTGTATAGTTTGGCTGAATTCAATCGCTACCAGTTGGTGTCTTCATTTATGCATCAATGACTGGAAGGAAGCTGCCTTAGTTTACCAATGGCTTTTTCCTTTACTAGAGTTAATTTATGTACTTATTAGGCTAAGAGTTACGTCTATAGACTTCTTTGATCACAAAGCTCTGCAAATAGCTTTGGATGTAGAGAACGTGAAATCTGCTTTTGAATCCGATTTTTACTGACATTAAGTTGGTGATGCAAATGTGAATACTGTTTCAACCATATTGATATTGTCATTTTAGTGGACCTAATGTGGGGTTTGCCTGAAATCTGCTTACTACTCCAAGGGCAAAAGCGATATCAGGTCTAGTACATAGCATGGCATATTTCGATGACCATTCTTTTCTGGTCGACCTGTTAAGTTCTCAAATAAGTGGGCTCAGGACCATGTCTTTGTTTGATGACCAGAATTCGAGATGGAAGCAGGGGGCATGAGTGCTGGTGCTTCTTTCTTTTGTGCTTGAGTTTTGGATTTTCTGATTTTTATTAAAACAAAGCGACTCTCTTTTATGTTGTATTTCTCTTCAGGTGATGTGCCTCGGGTTGATGGGCAGTTAGCAGTAGCAAGGGCATTTGGTGACAAGAGCTTGAAGATGCATCTTAGTTCAGAGCCGGATGTGGTAGTAGAGCTCATCGATGACGATACAGAGTTTCTCATCTTGGCTAGTGATGGCGTATGGAAGGTTAGCTACTTCCATTTCCAGAGAAATATTACTTGTTTATTGCGTTCGGTATTTGAATTCTATTGTACGTTGTCTGAACATGTAAGAGGTTCAAAATAGGTGCAGAGACACAATACTCTCTTCAGGCATACCGAGATTAGGAGTACAGTGCTTGGCTTAATCGTATATAAGATCCATTTTGATACAGCTTATGAATGCAATCTTTGTGAAAAATATTAGCATTTTTGTTGATGTAGCCTTCTCTAGTTATAAAAGACTGAAATATAGGTGGTTTTATTATGCTGATTGATGTGTCATGAGATGCTCTGGCGGTTTTGTGAATTCTCATAGTAAACATCTTGTAACTTCTGTTTAAATTTTTAGGTACTGTCAAACCAAGAAGCTGCGGACTGCATAAAGAATATAAAGGATGCACGGTCAGCTGCGAAGCACCTTAATGAACACGCCCTTGCAAAGGGAAGTACTGATGATATATCCTGTGTGATTGTAAGGTTCCAATAATTTTGGGTTGTGTGTACTTGTGAAATGAAGGAACGGGCACGAATCAAAACTTGGATCACAGTGGAAACCAAGTCAATTTCTGTGTGACAGAGAAAATGTAACATCTGAATAGTTCTTGCTTTTGTCCTGTAAAATTCTGTTATCACCAATGATCATGGTAGTGTATAAACATTTATGTTCCAAAAGTTGACACTGTTTGCAAACTGCAAATAAAGGTTATGTTGTTTCTCGAATCTCCTCGCTTCTCTGGTATAGTATTGTGTGAATCCTGCAAATAAAGTAGTGAATCCCTGTTCTACCAATCATTATTTGCATGACAATGCATGCAAGGAAGTTGCACTACAAGCCGTGGAGGTGTAAGTCATGAATATTGTGCCATACAACTGTTGGAATATAACCATGAGAGTTCGAAGCTCGAGCTCATGTCATAGCTGCAGTTGTAGAACTAACTGAACAAACATCTAGCGTTTACATTTAGGTCTGACTATAAGTTAACAACACAAAGGGACAAGAAAGATGTTACGGGTTGACAGAAGAGAGTAAGCATTAGAGAGTAAGCATTCATCTAGTGGATGTAATAGTTTTTGAAGGAGGCATTTCTGTTTGTCAAGGTTATCTGTTGTCTGTCTTCTCCATTCATCTGCCTGCATTGGTCATCTTCCAGCTTAATGGCTAGTGGGGTTTTCCGACGCCGCTCATTGTGTCCAGCTAAACGCCGGCGACAACTCCTTTTAGTGCCATCAAATTCTGAGACCTCATGGAACCTGAATGGGAAGAACAGGGAAATATGAAGTTTCATTGTTAGTGCATGCTCGAGTCTTCAGCATATTCAGGTAAATTACAAGAAAGTAATCTCGGGAGGGAAGCTTTGGCGTAACTGATAAAGTTGTTGCCATGTGACCAGGAGGTCACGCATTCATGCAGAAGGTTATGTACAATAGACCCTTGTGGTCCGGCCATTCTCCGGACCCCGCGCATTGCGGGGGCTTAGTGGACCGGACTGCCCTTTTTAGTGTCTGAAAACCCAATTACTGGGAGAAAGCAGAGTTGAGATTAAACTCCACTCGGGGGCAAAAACTATACTGTACTTTCTGGTCAGATTGGGCAGGTTGTTTTGCCAAAGGAAACGGATCCTAATACTGGACGTGTACAATGAATTATAACATGCCTAGTTCCCGACTTTTTCTCTGCCTTCTTTAAGAAGATTAGTATTTTCTGAGTCATATTATACTTCCCCTTATTCTAACTTCAAAATTCAATGTAATATTATATTGATTAGTAAAGCAAAGCAGTTGTTGATAGCAAGTAAAAACAAGGGCCATGGAGTGCAAAATCGATACAACACAGCCAGCAACAGTATCTGTTGTTTTACAAGAAATACATTGGAATGCTCAAATATGGAGAAAACCTATTATAATTCTAAGTGGAAAACTGATGTTGGGGTTCAATGTTATGATGTCCCTGTTCTAGATATTTCGTCCTGGACATGTAGGGGAGTTAGAAGTCCGACATGGGCTGTGGGACGGGTTATTTATTTTCTAATATGATTTGAGACAATCTTTAGTTATTGAGCTAATTTTTAGGGTTGAGTTAGATACTAAGTGATAGAACTTTTATCACAAGAAAAAGATTAGAAGTTTATTGCTCGGAAGCATTTTTGATGCCCCTTGAGTCACAAAGGAGCTTATTTAATAGGCTTCAACTCTTACCAGCTTTGGTCACGGGTTATAAGTTCTCCACTGTGCTGTCTCTGCGTGGATTTCATAAATGTCATGGCCTTCTCACAACTAAAATCTTAAGGTTAGTTTTCGTATTTTACCTCAGCACCAGAGCTACTAGCTACTTAAGTCATCTAACTTATGAAAACTATTAAATTTAAAAAAAAAAAAAAAAACAGGTTGGTGCACTAAGCTCCCGCTATGCGCGGGGTCCGAGGAAGGGCCGGACTACAAGCTTCTGGAACTAGTTTGATAGGGTCTATCTTAGCTCGAAGGAAAGACCCTCTATTGCTGCAAGAGGCTGTTTCCACGGCTCGAATCCGTGATCTCCTGATCATGGCGACAACTTTACCAGTTACACCAAGGCTTTGGTGTAACTAAAAAAAGAAAAGACAAGAAGCAAAATTCAAATTTGGAGAGGTGACGCTCCAAATTGGCTAAAATATAGAGATGAGATAAGAGTTGTTTAGAAGGAGGTACCTGCTGCATTGTTGGCAGAACCTCTGCCTTAAGCCAGCAACAAGAACGATTGGAGCCTTGGCATGGACTTGACAAAGTTTATGCCTTTTGTAGTACTTCTTTGCACCACTCAGATCAACCCCACATTTCTCCACTTGACAACAGGGTCCTTCACTATTTGACCCTTTTTTCTTTTCAAGATTCAATCTCTTCCTCTTCAAGTTACTCTCCTCTTCTTCCTCCTCTGTTTCTTCCTCTTCATCAAAGTCATTGTTTTCTGCTATGTTGTTCAATGACATACCATGGATATGGGTTGCCATGCTTTTCTTTAATATGAAGATTTCCAGTAAGCCCAAAGAGGAGAGATGTAAGTTTGCTAAAGAGTATGTAATGAATATAGGCTAGCCATGCTAGGACAAAAGGTGAAAAAAGCTTGTGAGGACCACAACTACAATCACAACGCCACTTATAATTAAGGAAGTTAAATTCAATACCAGGAAAATCATACCTTACAAATAAAGTAAAAACAATTCTTTTGGGTAACTTATTTATTTTGCATCGACTTCACAATAGGAAAGTTTTTAGTACAGTGTTAAAGGTGATTCAGAAATTACTTTATATGGAGTAGTTAATTAAGTTTCGGGTGTGGCATTTTTGTATTCATTTTCTTCGAATTTCCATTTTCTTAGTTAATATTATTAGTATTACTACTATTATTGGATATGGTGTGGAGTGGATTTTCAGTAGCAGCAGTATAAAAATACTACTAGTAGCATAATAAACAACCAACACAAATTTTAAAAAAAGTTATATTAATGAATATTGTGTTTTAAAGAAGAAACCAGAATGGCAAAGAAAGGTAAGGAAGTATAGCTGAGATTTTGCTAAATTGTTTTAGCTGAATTCTAGTTACCAGTAGTTGCTAGGTGGGGTAACTAATTTCTTAGGTCCGACACGTAGAACACAGAGTCAATTATTGAAGTACCGAAAGGGGTCCTCCAAAGTTAAGAAGAATCAACTCACTGGTGTTCCACCAACCTCTCTGTTTTCTCGGTAAAAGGGTTATCCTTTAAAAAACAATAAATAATATGATAATTTTACTATGTCATCCCTATTTATTATACGTTGAAAAATAACTTGGATATAAATAATACTTAATAAGAAGTGTAAAATAAGTATACAACAACAACAATAACCACCCAGTATAATCCTACAAGTGGGGTCTGGGAAGCGTAGGATGTACGCAGCCTTACCCCTACCCTGGAAAGGCAGAGAGACTGTTTCCGATAGACCCTCGGCTAAAGAAGGTGAGAGAAGCTCTGATAGCAAGTAATAGCAAGACAAATAATTAGAAAACTAAATTGAAGATAGCAACAGAGAATATAAAAGGGCTACCGATATCAAGTAATAGCAAGATAACATATTTAGAAAACTAATTCCAAGGCAGCAAACGAGAATATGAACGAAGTACTGCTAGCAAACTACGAAATTATCGATGGCAAGTAACAACGGAACGAGACATGCGAATATAGCAAACTAAGGAAAAAAGGGTACCGTACTAGCGCTAATACTATCGAGCCAGAGAAGACAAAGGGAAAAACGCACGACTACTTACTAACCTTCAACCCTAATCCTCAACCCCACACCCTTCTATCTAGGGTCATATCCTCGGTTAACTCAAGCTGCGTCATGTCTCGCTTGATCACCTCTTCCCAAGACTTCTTTGGCCTACCTCTACCCCTCCTCACACCTCCCAAGGCCAACCTCTCACATCTCCTGACAGGGCATCTGTGCTTCTCCTCTTAACATGCCCGAACCATCTCAACCTTGCCTCACGCATCTTTACCTCCACAGGGGCCACTCCCACCTTGTCCCGAATAACTTCATTCCTAATTCTATCCAACCCAGTATGCGCACACATCCATATCAACATCTTTATTTCTGCTACTTTCATCTGCTGGACATGAGAGTTTTTGACTGGCCAACACTTTATAAAATAAATATATAATAGTAAAATTATCCATTGATTTTTCAAAATGGACAAGTAAAAGTAAATATTTTTTTAATATAGTGGACAAGTAAACTTTGAAGGAAGAAAGTAGATTTTAAGGAGGTGATAATTATGGTTGAACTTTATTGTTGTATCAATAAGATTATATAATTATTTTCCGTATTACTAAAATCACCGAGCAATAACGCGTCAACTTCTTAGAAAATATTGCGTCTGTTACAAAACTTAGCTCAAAGTAATAAAACAAGAAAATACACAAGAATATAGAGAGAGCAAGAGATGAGAGCGTCATATTTCTTGCAAGTGTGTCAAGTATATACAATGTGGTGCCAAAACCCTCTATTTATAAAATTACATAGAGGTATACAAAAAAATACATAAATATGACATTAAACATTTGAGATCATGGGGAGGTTATGGAGGTGTGGGAGTTACAACTATAATGGTGAGAAGTAGTGGGAATTATCTACATAATGGAGAAGAGTAGTGGGAGTAACTTCTTTAAGAGTTATAGACATCCACTAATATAATTATAATATTTCATAACACTCTCCCTTTGATGTCTATAGATAATGTGCCTCGTTAAAACCTTACTAATAAAAAACCATGTAGGAAAAATCTTAGTAAAGGAAAAAGAGTACACATATCTTGTAATACGCATTACTTGCTGCCTCATTAAAAACCTTGCTAGGAAAATCCAGTGGGATAAAACCTTAGCTAAGGAAAAAAGAGTACAACACGTATTTGCCTCCCCCTGATGAAAACATCACTTTTGTTTCTCAGAGACGACGAATTCCAAGCTTGTATAATAACTTCTCTAATATTGAGATCGGCAATGCCTTGTGAAGAAGTTTGTCAAATTATCACTTGAACAAACTTTTTGAATAACGATCTTGTCTGAAATAGAACTTTGGTGAAATATGCTTTATTTTGTCTCCTTAGATATATCCTTCTTTCAATTGAGATAAAAAAATATCATCGACTTCACTATTATTGGAATCTTTTCTTCAAGGAAAAGTCACACATTTGTTGTGTGTTGAGTCACTTGCTTTATCAGTTGCTAGTATATTGACATGACTTGGATAAGTATCAACAATTGACTGCCTTGTGAAATAATAGTATGGTAGTACCCTCACATACAGAATGAACTTCAGAAAATGCCTGCATTTGCATAACCAACAAAACCTTGACAATATCTGTTAGAATAAACAAATCTATATCATAGATTTCTTTTGCAATATAACACTAATCGTATTTCAATACACATAGGAGTAAAACTATATCTCTCTAGAATATTGTTATACTTGTGGTTCTAGCAAGATACATTAGTGCACCAATTGCACTAGACACAAAAATAAATCATGTACACCATGATTACGCTAATCCACATAAGGATCTGCTGAAATTTTAACAACTTAAATCCTTCAAGGATTTTCACTATACGCATATTAAGTTTTTTATGTATTGCCAAATTAAAACCTGAAAAGGTTTTCATCCACCATAGGAGAACATATCTCCATATAACTAATGCTAGAATATTTACGAAAAATTTTGTGCTACAAGTCGTCTTTATGTCTATCGACTTGATTTTTCATTTCACTTTCAGGTGTTGGGAGTATCCGTCCATCTTCACATTTTTCATGTGAAGTCAATTTTCATTGCGTACTTTTCATTTGGCCAATCATTTATCTGTCCAAATTTCATGACAGATTTGAGCTCAAGATCCTCGTCAATATTAATAATATTGAGCGCTACATTATATCAATAACATTGTCGACGATCATTTTACGTCGGTTCCATCATCAATCAATAAAGACATAACTTATTGAGATCTCAATAGTTTAAGGTACCTGAGCTTCTCCCATGAGATCTTATAAAGTGTCATGTCGTGGTGCTCTTATAGAGCACTTGCCTCCTTAGTATGACCATCTTTATCATTTGCTCCTCTCCTTCTTCAAGGAGTTTAATCTTTGGAACCAATTAGTCTATTACACTTCATGTGTTCCACAGACTATGTCCATCATGAACTTTATTCTATTTGGAGCATTAGCAGCTGAAATATAACATTTAGCTTTGGGTCAACAAATGCGTCTGGATATATTTTGCAAATGAATTATCACTTGAACTTCAAGTTCATATTTTCTTGTACGAGGATCTAGGTACACTCATAATAATTCATTCCATGTATTACTTTTTCAGCTTCCCATTTTGTCCCCCTAATGTTGGGATCACCAACACGTATCCCCAACCTTCTTTGGGGATCCATCTTTGTGCATTGTGGTGGAACAATTAAATCATATAGCACATCCATATTTCTAGATGAAAATTATTTGGTTTTTGACCCTGAACCAATTGTAATAGGGAGAATTTATCATAACTTGTTGGCTAGATGCGTACAAATGCTGTTGTATATTAAATAATACACCTCATACCAAATTTCTATTTGGGAATTTTATTCTCATAAACAATGGTTTAGCTTAATTGAGGCATACAGTTTCTGCTAAACCAATTTGGATTTAAGCCAGCATTATCAAGATAAATTAACATAATTTTTATTCTAGAACTGTGCTTTAATAATTTGAGCAAGTAATCTTGCAAAAACCAAACTGCAAGTTGATAACAAACGCACATGTGACCATACAATAGATGCATCTATTAAAATCATATAATAGTAAACGGTCCACATGGCAGGTGATTGGGCCCATACATATATATCACCTTTTATTCGTTCCAGATATCAAGGGATTCAATCCAATCTTAACTGGTATATCATGAGAAAGAACAGCACAAGAGAATTCTTGAAGAGTCTTCTATTTCTTCAATATATGCCAATGTGAATTCTCAATTAATTTTCGCATCAATAAACCGGGATGGACAACCGGTCATGCCAACTAATATTTGTTTCAGTAAATCTCTTGTTTACTTGTGGCATGTGATTCCATCATCATGCTTATACATGTGTAGTACAAATGAAGAAAAATCGGATAACCTTTCATTTATACCCGGTATGATTAAAGGAATATAAAAATATCTAATCTTCCTTTCATTTATAGTCTCAATATGCCTATCACTTAGGCTTATACATTTGAAACTCAAAAAGTTTCTTTTGAGACTTACTACAATATCAATGTCATGCATAATTTCATTCATCTGGGTAGTAACAAATTAATTCTTTTGGAACTCTTAATTTTGTACTACAAGATCTTTTGTCACACCATCCATATGGTGAATGTCTCCTTCACGGAGAAAATCATATCATAACAATTTTCATGGTCAAAATCATCATAAGAAAAGTCATTTCTTGCTTTAATTTTGCCTTTAATAACCTTTTATAAGGCATGACAAAATATTTTTTTGGCGTACCACATGTACGCAACCAATGACATATTTATATAACCACATTGTAACATTCATTATCTTTATTTCTCTCAAACCTCCCTTAGAGGTGAGTTGTGGTATTCATC